AAAATGTGCCATTATAATTAAGTTTAATATAGATTTATTAAAAAACAACTTGTAAATTACATACCATAAATATATTTATTAATATAGTTTATTATAAAACTAGTTCTCTATATAATTGTAAATACAAGATTCGATTTTAAAATTTTATACACATTTACAATAAATAATAAGTACGACAATATTTATTCATACTCTTTTATTTTTAATATTATATCATTAAAAAAACTATTATTTAATGCTTTCAATTACGGAATTGGTCAATATACAAATGGTCAATTGTGAAAACTACAATGTACCACGCAGAGAAATATATTTAAGATTAAAAAATAAGTGTTTGAAGCTCTGTAAAGAAACAACTAATAGACAAATGCTAATCAATTTTGGTATTTACACTGTGTTCAGTATAGAATTTATATTTTCCAATAAAAATTTTACTTCAAAATTTAGCTGCTGAAATGAAGTTTGAAGCTGGTGTTATCTTAAGGCAAATACGTGTTCTAACGAATTTCGAAGTGGAATAAGTTTAATATATCTATAAATAGAAAAATATCGCATTTGAGAGACGTGTAAGAAATACAATTATATAAGTAACAAAAGTACTACACAATGACTTTTAAATTACACATTTTCACACATATCACAGCAATATTGTCATGTATAAAGAGTCATTTTATTTCATTTAACAGCTTAGATTCAAAATCACAGTTGTTAAAAACTTATATAATTATATAATATATACAGTAATGCATATAAATAAGTCGAATCTGAAGAAAATTTTCTGGCATAAATATAAAATTCACCGTTTTCGGTTGTCATGTGGGATTAATTTGAATATATTTCAATAAATGTTCCTAAAACTGGCTGTAGTTTACAAATGTGTATTATTTGAGGTTCGACTGTATTTTATATAACTGATATGTGACACGCATATTAATAAGCAAATAATATGCAACAAATGAGAGGATACTAAAGGGAGAAGCATATTCCATTTTTCATTAATACTTACGGCGTTTTCCCAAAGTTCAGTATGTTTCTCGAGTGTTACTTCTAAATCACGTTTTAGGGAATGTCTTCGCAAATTTGCATTCTTAATGAATTCTGTATTTTTCGAATGATAAAAGAACAATTCTTTAATACATGCTACTAAGACGAATAGAATTCTACAAGTCTGAAGGTATTTGCTTCATTTCATATTCTTTGTCGTAAAATTGTAAGGATAGATAATCTTTCTTTGCCACTGTGCATTCTATTATAAAATATAATGATGATGGAACGAGTGTACATAAAATATTCCAGATACTTTAATGGGAAATTCTAAATGGATGGCAATTTTGAGCATATGTGACATTACCAAAGAAGAAGTTTTAATGAGAAGCGAATGTAATAGACTTTAAATTTTATAAATCAATTAACTTATTTGCTAGACATTAAATTTTAGAAGAATATTGTACAATAAATCTCAATTAGTAAATAGAACAATTTAGGAAGACCATTAAAATGTTAAACAGGATTCTGCAACTATTTTTAATGTCTTCCTATAATAACTCTTTGTTTACATTAGAGCTTATCTTCAACCCCTTTTCCTATCATTATCAACGAACTTCGTTTACCATTAAAAAATTAATACAGAGAAAATTGACTAATTTACATTCATCTACTTAAAATTCTATAGAAATTCCACAGAGGAAGTACACAGTCATATTAAAAATTCAGTACGAATTTATTGCATAAATTTCATAGTAATATTCACTGTTTCAGTTTAGTACGGATACTTCACAAATTTCATTTATGAAATTTATGCAAGAATTTAGATTCTATCATGAACAGGAAATGAAAACTGCTGATGTTTTGCCCCGATTAACAATATAAGAACTTCTGAAGTAAACCGGAAATTACGTTATTTCAATTCAAATCTTATCCCCCGAAAGGAGTTAAGCGAAAGCATTAAAATGTATTCTTGAATATGTCGTTTATCGTATAGTATTACTCAGTATTATAATATTAAATAGTAATGTGTTTAATTATTTTGATTTTTGACTTCGAGCTTAAGAAAAAACATTAACGCAGATTGTTATACAGTAGAGCGTCGTTTATCCGAAAGTCGGTTATCCGAAACATCGGTTATCTCAAGGACTTCCAGTCGACAAATTTAAATTTTCGCCAGTGCTGTGGCGCTGTAATCTTTGGCTATGTCTTCGGCTACTCAAATATTTTACGTTTTTGATACTAAATTAACTTCTGAAGTATAATTTTTTATTGTTTTTATATTTTTCAATATATTTATTTTGTTTGTACAAAATAAAAAAATAATTTTTAACGATACAATAGTCTTCGTTAGGCTTAACATCGACGAAAATTCAACGCGAAGCGACACGCAACGGAGAAAAATTTCAACACGGGATAAATTAATATATTTTTTCGTACATAATTGGTTATCCGAAAAATAAGTTATCCGAACAATCCCAGTCCCCAATTGATTCGGATAAACGACGCTCTACTGTATTAAAACAGTCATTCTTACATCTCTTTTGTATTTTGCACTATAATTTCTTGTATTTCATTTCCATCATAAAACATTGTATTTACGGTATTACTTTATATTTATGAGTTTTCGATGTGTATTATTTACTGTTATACTGTATTTTTCATTATATTTTTCAACATTTCTAGAAATTCTTCTTATAATTGTTTTAATAATAATTAAATTATGACGCGTGTACTAATACTTACAGTTCATTATTATTTTCAAAGATATACTTTTGTAAGATCGACTGAAANGAGTGTACTTATTTGATATGAAAAGAATTTTCTTATTTTCGTCATTATCAGATATTAAAAGTTTCTTGCGTAAATAATCTAAAGAATATTCTAACTCTTTGCATAAATTAGAAAAGAAAAGCAGCAAGAAATTATTTTGCATACATAAAAACAATTGAAAACAACACATTACAATGTACATAATCACGGGCGAATTCATTTCAGTACCGATAAAATTCGATTGAAATAAAAAATTAATAGAGAAAATTGACTAATTTACATTCATCTACTTAAAATTCTATAGAAATTCCACAGAGGAAGTACCCAATCATATTAAAGAAATATGTAAAAGTTTTCAGAATTTTAAAAACACAAATGCGTATTTTATTAAACGTTTATAAAGCAAACACATAAATACAATCATACGTTTATCAAAATTAATGTTATATATATATAGATCTATTAGCGGAATTACTCGCTAATAAATTGATAATGCGTGATATAATGAACACAATACTAAAGGATGCCATTTAAAGTGCACAACTCGAGGCTATTAACAATTATTTATGAATCCCTCTGCTTATGTTTTCCTATGCTAAAGTAAAAATTCAATACAAATTTACTGCATAAATTTCATAGTAATATTCACTGTTTCAGTTTAGTACGGATACTTCACAAATTTCATTTATGAAATTTATGCAAGAATTTAGATTCTATCATGAACAGGAAATGAAAACTGCGGATGTTTTGCCCCGATTAACAATATAAGAATTTCCGAATTAAACCGGAAATTACGTGATTTCAATTTAAATCTTATCCCCCGAAAAGAGTTAAGCGAAAGCATTAAAATGTATTCTTGAATATGTCGTTTATCGTATAGTATTACTCAGTATTATAATATTAAATAGTAATGTATTTAGTTATTTAAGTTATTAAAACAATTATGAGAAGAATTTCTCATAATTGTTTTAATAATAATCAAATTCTGACATTTTGGATTTAGGACACCTGAAACGTCGAGAAATCCAAAAAAAAAAGTCGGTGGTAAGTTTTGTATGTATGGATGTTAGTGTGTGTATATATGTCTAAATTAGGAAATAATCGAATTAATATTGTTACACCATTTAAAAATTTTATAAAGATTTTCGTAAAAACTGGCGCAAGCAATTTGGATTATTTTCCCTATATTTTCGATAGTTCACAATTTCGTGTAATTAAATCGACAGTGAAATAGAATTTTTATATTTAAGTATGAGACATAAACCACACGACCTTTATTGATTAATGATAAAATTTTCATAATTATAATTATTACATGAATTGTAATGTTACCAAGAACATAGACTGGTATTCTATAAATAGTATTTAAGACTATATTAACAATACATATAATAGCACTACACTCAATCCTCTGAACACACATAAAAACAAAAGAAACGGCCGTTATTCAAAAATAACTGTTGTTTAGAAGAAAATTTTTATGCATTTCTGTTCAAAAAATGAATAAATAAATAGAAAATTTTCTGAAAAAAATGGTTGTTATTNGCATATTATGCATTGCAAAAGGGTCTAAGTAATTGCCCTATTAATTTTTAATATAAAAGGCCATTGAGGTTTGTTATCATTTATTATGTCAGTGAGGTTTGTTATCATTCTGTATAAGAAATAACGACAATCATATTTCCGTTAAAGTGCATTAGTAAGACAATTAATTCTAAGCTAACAGAATTTAAACATTTGAAATATAAACGAAGAATAAATTTTATACAAAATGTAAAATGTTTTAAATTTTGTGTTGTAATTAACATATTAAAGAAACTACAAAAAATTGTATTAACTTACGAGAAATATTGAAGGTTTGTTAGTTCATGGAGCCTTTGATAAAAAATACACTTCATCGATTGATTTTGTTGCAAATAATGTCGAGAAAGTCATTATTTCTCTTTACATTTCTTTATTACAAGTTCTTGTGTATACATTCTTAATAATAACAATAATAAAACAAAGTTTATCTATAAAAACAAGTAAAAACGGTTTGTTTACATTACGACTTTTCAAAATGTAATATAAAATAATGTGACAAATTACTTTATATTTCCTATACATCATTATTGTTGTCAGAATAAAATGGGTGTGAAATGCGTTTTCTTTTTAATTATATTTTTATGGGTACTAAGAAGGCCTTTTTTTAATACTGATTTACTCATCTTGGAATAGGCCAGGCCCACAAAGTGAGTGTCCGACATTGCTTTCAGATTCATCTTGAGATGAAAATACTTGAACTTTATTCATTTTCTTATTACTGAATATAATTACATTATATTAAAATTTACAAAATGTTTTACTATACTAATATTTAATTAAATAGTGCTTACTTACTTTTTGAATATATATTGATAAACTGGAAATATTTCCTTTACCATTCGCTTTTACGTAATTTTCTATATAAATGAATAAAAATAATGGTTAAAAGACAGTCGGATGGCCTTGGCAATTAATGTCCATAAAGAGAAAAGAGTTATAAATGCAATATACAGGGTGGTTATAAGTAAACTGATCTTATTCACACCCCTGTAGAGCCTGTTCTGCTTATCGGATTTTGATGAAACTTTGTGTTTACGTATGCTTTTATGTTATTGTTAAATATGTCTTTATAGATGAAAGTGAGAGCATTGCTGGTAAAACTGTTTTATCATAACGGTAGCAATAGCTTAGCAGTACTGCGAGAATATTGACGTATAAAACGATTGCAAAAAGGACCATGCCGAAGAATGGTTCGAGAAACATGATTATGAAATTTCAAGAGACTAGAGACTTAGGCGTGTGCTGCCAGGAAGAAATTGTCAAAGAAGTCTCTGTTGCTGTGGTTGACAGAGCTTCCAGTTCACAATATTATTCAACAAGTACTCGACCGATGTCTGGTTGTAGGGATTCCTGAAAAATCATATTATAGAAGAAAGATTAGGTCACTAGCTGAATTGAAAGCCAGCATTACACGCCATGTTGCTGAAGTTTCTGGAGACGTTTTTCGTGCTACCGTTGAACATGCTGTAATGTTTTTTAATACGTATTTAATGTCAACGGAGCACACGTTGAACACATTCTGTGATTGAATAAAGTTGAAAGTTTCTGAATTGTTTTCGGCCTACTTTAGGTGCCAAATTTTCAGCCGATAGTCGAATTTTTTTAACTATGTTTTATTGCAGAAATCTTTAATCAGGGTCTTTATAATGTATATACAAAGTTTCACCTCAAATTCTGATAAGCAGAACGGGATCTAGAAGGGTTCGTGTAGGGTCAGTTTAATTATAACCCCCTGTATATAAGTAAAATTTAAATTGTTATTTTAATATATTTTTCTACGAAAGTTTTATTCCAATGCAATGTATACTACTATTTAAAGAATATGTGGGATTACGTGAAGTCATTTCGGTAGTTTCGGTTACTTTTTTATCGCTTTATTCCGCCGAAAAGTATTTATCACGTGTGAGTAACAAGATCTATTCTTTGGGTCCAGATTAAGGATGATTAAGTTATTATATAAATATTAAAATTAATGGCTTAAATTATTAATTTTAAAATTAGTAAAATAGCTAATTCATTCGTCATTATATAGCAAAATACATCTCGTAAGTCATCTGCGTTTTCACTGGTCGATTTAAATCAACACACCTAAAAAAGTTCCGGGAATAAAACTTTATTGGCACATTACTTGATACAAGACGACATTAGTAGCTCGGGTCGTTCGAATTCGGTGACACTCGAACGTCTCTGCAAGTGACTTTTGAATTTTGTATCTCAGCCTGTAAAGAAAATTGGGAAACAATGTCAATTATAACCTTATAGCACATGAAAAAATACGTATTATTAACTTTCAGTGTAATCTGAATTATTCGAAATAGGTACCCGGAATGGACTGTCAAATTCGATAAATAGAGGCTTCTCTGCATAACACAGAAGGGCATCCCTGCATAACAAAATTGCAATGATTAAATGGGCAGTTAGGTTTAAGTTAGTAATGATACGATGATTAGGTTAGCTCTGTTTTATTTTACAGCGTTTGATATTGTATATTAAATCGAATTATTTGCATATCCTTATCATTGCTAAGCTAAAGTAATCGCACATGAACCACTCCCGCATTGTATTTATGTATTCAGTAAAGCGCCGCTAGCCCCTTGAGCAGCGAAGTAATTCACCTGTCAAATTTAATTAACAGACTTCCAAGACACTACATGATGTTTCTAATGCAATAAAAGCGCATATTTTTCAAATACTACAACTTAATTTTCCTATTCCATTAGGGACTGAGATTACAGCAACCCTATTCGATAGAAGAACTGGAAAGGATGGAAAATGGCATCAGTGTTTATCATATTATGCATTAGAAAAGGTGACAATCATATTTCGTTGAAGTACATTACTAAAACGGCTAACAAAATTTAAACATTTGAAATATAAACGAAGAAAACATTCTCTACAAAATGTAAATTTTTAAAAAAATTTTGTGTTGTAATTAACATTTTAAAGAAACTACAAAACATTGTATTAACTTACGAGAAATATTGAAGGCTTGTTAGTTCATGAAGGAGCCTTTGATAGAAAATACACTTCATCGATTGATTTTGTTGCAAATAATGTCGAGAAAGTCATTATTTCTCTTTACATTTCTTTATTACAAGTTCTTGTGTATACATTCTTAATAATAATAGTAATAATAAAACAAAATTTATCTATAAAAACAAGCAAAAACGGTTTGTTTGCATTACGACTTTTGAAAATGAAATATAAAATAATGTGACAGATTATTTTATATTTCCTATAAAACATTAATATTGTTGCGAGAATAAAATGAGTTTCATTTCAATGCTTTTCTCCGTACGGGTACTTTTCAAAGCCTTTTTTAATAAGGCCGAAAATGTTAGTATAATAAACATTCACTGCTTTATAAATGGATATACATTGTAGTTAATGAAGGAATTAAAATAATACTTAGTCTGAAAGAAAACAATTATTTTAAGACTAGCAGGTGAGCCCGGCGTTGCTCGGGCAAAAGTAACGATAGCGAAGATTAAGATTATTACGTTATAGTCAACCTTACCCGTTTTCACAGAATGCAAAAATTGGATCCCCCGTTTCCAGACTAATTAAAGAATTTTTACATGGGTCTAAAAATATCTTCAATTTCCTGCAAAAACGAAAACCAACTGCACTTTCTCTTAAAACGTCGCTTTCTCTTAACAATTCCATTGTTACGTAACACGTCCATTGTTGACACTTCCATTGTTAACACTT